TGTGTGTGTGTGTGTGTGTGTGTGTGTGTGTGTGTGTGTGTGTGTGTTTAATGTTCATCCCCTGTCATCTGATTACTTGCTTCACCTCTTGACCTGTGGTTGATTTAATTTAATCTTATTCACAGAAAGTGAAAAGCCCAGGGGTCTTTTCTGAGATTGATATTCCAACCTAGAATCATATGTGGAGATAACATAGAACCCCTGCACAGATGTAGCCCATGGCAGCTCATTATCCAAGTGGGTTCCCTAGTAATGGAAATAGGGGCTGTCTCTGACATGAACTCAGTGGCTGGTTCTTTGATCACCTCTCCCTGAAAGGGGAGCAGCTTTATCAGGCCACAGAGGAAGACATTGCAGCCAGTCCTAATGATACCTGATTGGCTAAGGTCAGATGGAAGGAGCCTCCCTATCAGTGGACTGGGGGAAGAGGCCTAAGAAGAGAAAAGGGAGGGAGAGGGCCACAGCTGGGATACAAAGTGAATAAATTATAATAAATAAAAAAAAGGTATGTGCTAGGGCTGAGCCACACAATTATTGTTTACAATAAAAAGCTTTCTGGTTTAAGGTGTTTGCTAGGGCTGAGCCACACCACAACTAAAGACAGTTTTTTTCTATTATACAATCTTGGGACTTCACAGTTTGAGCAAATATCATGCTACATGTAAATCAATGTAGTGAAGCCTTTTCGTTTCACAGTAGTCTCTAAATATATCAACACATACTGGAGAGAAGCCCTATTGTTGAGGTTTGAGAATGTCCCACAGTGGCTACTCATACACCAGGCTCAGAATGATGGAAGTTTATTGAACAAAGACTGACCACTCAGAGACAGAATCTGGACTCAAGAACGAAACTATGCTGCTGAGCTGTTCTTGGAGTGAGTTTTTAAAGTGAAAGAACCATAACCAAACAGGAAGAATTAATTTTCCCAGGTACATTGTGTCTAGCCAAGCAAGAATCAATTCTATTCCAGCTGCATTGTGCCTCGGTAGCTAGACAAAGCATTTTAAGCTGATTGGCTGGGATTTAAGGTACGGGAATCCTGGAAGCATTCTAGTTCCTCCTCATTCTGAAAGAAAGAAACATAGGGTATTGTGGGTTTGTTTATATAAAACATGCATTAATTCAAGCAGAATACTCAACAAGTATTGAATTATAATTAAGAGGCTACCACGTTCCCAGGCAAGCAGAGCCTAAGAACTTGGACTTAATTTCACCTTATGATCAAAATGGATACTACAAAAAAAATGGCTTCTGTTATACTAAAGATGAAAGCAGGCAACAGAGGAGTTGCAATAATGTTAAAAAGTAGGTCTCAACAGGGGGCCTACATTTACACATAAAGTTAAGGCAGTCCAACATGAATGTAATCAGCATGGTAAAGCCTTTGCACATTGCAGTCATCCTCAAATGCATGAAAGAATTCATGTAGGAGAGACACCCTATGAATGTAATCAATATAATAAAGCATTTTTACAACACAATAGTCTCCAAATACAAAAACTAACACATTGGAGAGAAACCCTATAAATTTATTTAGTATGGTGAGCCCTTTGCACATTTCCATAGTCATCATCAAGAAAGTATTCGTATTGAAAAAAAAAAAACCCTGTGAATGTAAGCATTGTGGTAAAACCTTTGCCTATCACAGTTATCTCTCAATCCAGGAAAAAACAAAAACTATAGAGAAACTTTATGAATGTACTCAAGAAGAATACTGAAGCCTCATAGGCCATATTCCATAGTAGGTCTGCAAGGTACCAGGTACATTCAGGCTTTCCTGGCTTCAAGAACATCCAGGTTAGATACCACAACCCCACACTACCAGACCCCTCCCTCCCAGGTCCACCAGGGCCACAGCTGCAGAAGTGAGCTGCACATTCTCTTCTGAGCCCCATCACCAGCATTTCTGAGGTTACTTGTAGTATCCAGAAAGAGCCAGACCTGCCTGGCTCCAGGAATATCCAGGTTAGACAACCCCACCCCACCCTACTCCACACTGGGTACACCTGAGGCACAGTCAGCAGACTACATACAGTCCCAGTGCCCCAGAGTCCACATTTCTGAGGAGACCTGCAGGATCCCAGGTACATCAGAGCTGCCTAGCTTCATGAACATCCAGATTAGATACCATACCCTGCATTACCAGCCCACATACTCTTCCTGTCTGGTCAACCTGGGCCATTGCCAGAAAAGGTGAGCTGCATACAGTCCTAGTCCCATAGCCTGATTTTCTTTTTTTTTTTTTTTGTATTTTATTTTTTTCTTATCAGTTACATTTTATTATCTATGTACCCCAGCCGTGTCCCGATCCCTCATTCCCTCCCAGTCCCTCCCTCCCTCCCTCCTCTCCACCATGCCCCTTGCCAAGTCCACTGATGGGGGGACCTCCTCCCCATTCATCTGATCCTGTTTTATCAGGTATCCTCAGGACTGGCTGCAAAGCTCTCCTCTGTGGCCTAACAGGACTGCTCCTCCCTTGGGGGGTGGGGAGGCCAAAGAGCCAGCCATTGAGTTCCTGTTAGAAATAGTCCTTGTTCCCCTCACTATGGGAAACCAATTGGTTACTGAGCTACCACAGGCTACATCTGAGCAGAGGTTCTAGGTTACATTCATACATGGTCCTTGGTTGCATGTCAGTCTCAGAAAAGACCCTGTGCCCAGATATATTTGGTCCTTGTGGAGCTCCTATCCTTTCCTCATCAGTCTAACTCCCCTTCTTTCTTATGATTCCCTGCACCCTGCCAAAGGTTTGGTCACGAGTCTTTGCTTTGAAAACACTGCTAGTTAGAGTCTTTCCAATGCGCTCAGTAGACTCCTGTCAATGTTCAATGCGTATCCCATCTGTCTTTCAAAACGAGGATTGATAATCTTACCCCATGTCTGCTCTCTTGATTATCTTTTTTAGGTGTATAGATTTCATTATGTTTATTATATCTTACAGGTCTATATAAGTGAGTATATACCGTGTTTGTCTTTCTCCTTCTGGGATATTTCACTCAAGATGATCTTTTCTAGATTCCACCATTTGCCTGCAAATTTCATGATTTCCTCCTTTTTGATTGCTGAGTAGTATTCCATTGTGTAAAAATACCACAATTTCTGTACCCATTCCTCCGTTGATGGACATCTGGGTTGTTTCCAGGTTCTGGCTATTACAAATAAAGCTGCTATAAACATGGTTGAGCAAATATCCCTTTTGTGTACTTGAGCAAACTTTGGGTATATACCTAGCAGTGGTATAGCTGGGTCTTGAGGAAGCACTATTCCTAATTGTCTTAGAAAGCGCCAGATAGATTTCCAGAGTGGTTGTATCAGTTTACATTCCCACCAGCAATGGAGGAGGGTTCCCCTTTCTCCACAACCTCTACAGCATGTGTTGTCCCTTGAGTTTTTCATCTTGGCCATTCTGATGGGTGTAAGGTGATATCTCAGGGTCGTTTTGATTTGCATTTCCCTGATGGCTAATGAGGATGAGCATTTCTTTAAGTGTTTCTCTGCCATTCGATATTTGTTTAGCTCTGTTCCCCATTTTTTAATTGGATTACTTGGTTTGCTGCTTTTCAGCTTCTTTAGTTCTTTGTGTATACTCGATATTAGTCCTCTGTCAGATAAAGGGTTAGTGAAGATTCTTTCCCAATCTGTAGGCAGGCATTTTGTTTTGATGACAGTGTCCTTTGCTTTACAGAAGCTGTTCAGTTTCATGAGGTCCCATTTATTGATTGTTGCTCTTAGAGCCTGTGCTGTTGGTGTTCTGTTCAGGAAGTTGTCTCCTGTGCCAATGAGTTCTAGGCTGTTCCCCACTTTTTCTTCTAACAGATTTAGAGTATCTGGTTTTATGTTGAGGTCTTTGATCCACTTGGACTTTAGTTTTGTGCAGGGTGATAAATATAGATCTATTTTCATTTTTCTGCATGTGGACATCCAGTTGGACCAGCACCATTTGTTGAAGATGCTGTCTTTTTTCCATTGAATGGTTTTGGCTTCTTTGTCAAATATTGAGTATTCATAGGTGTGTGGGTTTATTTCTGGATCTTCTATGCAGTTCCATTGATCCTCCTTTCTGTTTTTATGCCAATACCATGCAGATTTTATTACTATTGCTTTGTAGTACAACTTGAGATCGGGGATGGAGATACCTCCAGATGATCTGTTGTTGTACAGGATTGTTTTAGAGATTCTGGGTTTTTTGTTTCTCCATATGAAGCTGAGAATCTTTTTTTCAAGGTCTGTAAAGAATTGAGTTGGTATTTTGATGGGAATTGAGTTGAATCTGTAGATTGCTTTTGGCAGGACGGCCATTTTCACAATGTTAATCCTACCAATCCATGAGCATGGGAGATCTTTCCATCTTCTGAAATCT